CGGGGGAGCAGGAGCCGGCGGCCCTCGGGCCCTACCCGGCCTTTCCCCGGCCCGTGGGGCGCTCTCACCCATCAGTTTGGGGACCGGGGCGGTCTCCGCTCTTGCGGCCTGAGGGGGCGGCCGCGACCCTCGGCTGCCCCCCGGCTTGCGGGAGAGCGGCCGGTGCCAGGAGGGCAGTTGTAACCTTAGTGCGAAGTTACCGCCTCAGAGACAGGCTCAGGTGCGCCACACTGCAGAGCTCTCCTCCTGTATCTCTTCTTTTCCCTTTTTCTATTATTTTTTAATATGGGTTAGCTCAGCATCAGCCCTGCCTTGTGGCTGACTCTCCTTAGTTTTGGTACAGAATAGCGTGACAGCGTCTTAGTGTTGCTGTCACCTGCGCATCGGGTAGCTGCGTTATCGACGTGATCGAATTCGGTGTCAGCTCGGAAACCGCGAGGGGTGGAAGCACCTGGTGAGCTGTGAGACCGGCAGCGGACGGCCTTCCACGGAGGCCTAAGAAGTGCCATGCTCCTCTTAAAATATATAAATATAGTGTATAAATTATAAATAAACCTAAAATTAGTTTTGCCTTATTTCCTTTTTCAGAAGAAAAAAGAACTGCGTAACATGCAAGAGTAGAAACTCTTAGCTAGCAGATTCCTGCATGAGTATCTCTGCAATACCTAGAAACCCCCTATCCGGCCCAGCCCTCTGTGTTTCAGATTAACATCTTGCAAACAGGAAGTGAAATCTCTTCTCGCTGGTTATTTTTATATTTTTCTATCCTAGTGCTTTTGAAACAACACTTAGAGGTTAATGCCCCTGTTGAATTTCCAAGGCTTAATGTCCAGTTTCTGCCCTAACCTGTAGGGCTTTATTAATATATGTAGCTTTGCATAATAGTATCTTAAATCTTAGCTGTGGGCTTTTACTTTGCGAGTGACCTGTGTGGAGGATTTTATTTACAAGCTTAGCAGTCAAGGTGTGTTTTTCCACTTGTGTGTTAAGCAAATCTGGCAGGGATATATCTGGCAGGGTTATCCTGAGAGCTAAGCTGTCTCACTCGCTAGTGAGGGATAGGGATAGGGAAAGTTGTGGACTTTTTTTTTAAACGTATTTTGGGTCAGGAAGCTGGAAGAGCAGGAGGTTGGCTCAGATTTTTGCTGTAGTTGAAATTAGGCTGTAAATACTGAAGTTGTTGTATGAGCGCACGGGAACATGCGTTTTTAGGCGTGCGGGTCCCGCGTTTGTTGTCGTTTTGCGGGAGTTCTGCGGTCAGAGCGCCCACGCGTGACGCGCGGGCGGCCGCGAGGGGTTAAAGGCGCGGGGCGGGCGGCGTCCAGCGGATTCAAATCGCGGCCCGGAGCGACGCGCGGATAAGACTCGTGCTGGGGGCCCCTCGGAGCCCCCGTTTTATCCCCTCCCTCCCTACAGCGGCTTAATCTGCCGCAGGGAGGTTGTAAACAAAGCCCCGCACCTCTGCGAGCGCGGGCGCCCTCGGCGCAGTAAATCGCGGGAGGTTTCCAATTTCCAGGATCATCTGCAGGCTCCTAGCTCGTTGAGTGACTCAGTGCGTTGCCGTGCAGTGTTTGAGCCGCTGTGTGTACAAGCAGTGATCGAGCATGTTTATTGTTTCACCGTAGCTGGAGGTATGGAGGGTTTGTGTGTGGCTTCCTGTCTAAAAAGCTCTTGAAATGGCACCTGGTGTGAGTATGCAACATTATTGTTTAGGGAAAACCCTTTTTTGCTAGTGACATTACAGTTTGACATGTATGTCTGGGGATCTTTGCATGCTAACATGTATTTAATGCTAACATCTAGCTTAAAGTGTAAATTTTATTACTTGAATCTCTAAGGCAAGATCAGCATTCCTTTTAAGAAGGTGTGTGTGTGTCTATTTTATCTGTGTATTTCTTTATGGCATTATAACTTGGAGCTCTTTGCTCTTCAGCCTGTTTAATCTTGCACATATATGGCTATGTGGAAACATACTTCCTGGAGTATATTTACACAGCAATTTAATCTGGCTACTATTTTTTTATCAATTTTTTATTGGTTATTTTGAATAATAGAAAATGAAGTCTGAAATTACAAGTTGATACAAGTTGCTCTCAGAACCTGATAGAGCCACATGCTCTGCTTTCATTTCTATTAATTAGTCCAAAAGTCTGTTTAGTCTTTCAGCATTGGTATGTTATAGTGACTTAACAGAGTTGACTTGCTTAGAAGATAACGACAGAATGGATTCTGCTTGAAGTAGTACCCTCAGCATCTCTGAGAGTTTTAAACTTACTGCTTGTAAACCTTTGTCTAGAAAGTAAGATATACTTTCTTGCCAGTTTTCTCATTCCTACCTTGTCCTATGCCCATACTAGTTTACGAAGTGCAGCTGAATTATTACGGAATCATGAAATAGTTGAGTTTGGAAGGGACCTCTGTAGTCTTTGTTGGGAAAGGGGAGGGTTAAAGCCTGGCTTGCTTCCCTCTTGCCATCTGTGAATTGCAGCATGGTTCAGTAATTACAACGGTTTTCTGGGACCTGAATAGAAAATTAAAACCAAATTTCCCAATAGCAGGCTTTCTGGTACATATTTCTATTCTGCCAGTTTTCTGTTTGTGAAATGGTGATGTTACCACTTCCTCTGTCACAAGGGTGTTCATAAGGAAGTGCCTAGATAGTATGTTGTTGGAGGTCTATTTTTGTACTTCAGATAAGGCATGAATGAGGTTCATACTTGTCCTTGCCATGTGTCGCTTGTAGTGTACGTACAATATATATTGGCAACTGCCCTCCCCTTGTGACACTGCCATACTTAGTGGCCCCTATGGGAACATATCCCTTGCACAGCATCAGTGAAGCTTCGCGCAGTGGTCCCAGGTTTCACTGAGGCTGTCCAGCTCTGAAAATGGTCAGGTAGATACCTCTCTTACAGGTAAACAGGGTACGGGGCGGTGGTATGGCCTCAAGCCACTCGGCTTCATATTCTACATCCTTTCAAGGTAGCCAGGGCTCTGTGCTGAGGTAAATTCTGCTGCTCCCTCTTTTACAGAGGCCCTTGTACTTTGAGTTCAGAATTTTTCTCTTCTCTTGCTCTTCTACTGTGCGCATTTAATATAGCACTGGTAGAGTTGTTTTGCAAGGGAGAAATGATGCTATTACAAGATTGTCACAGTCTACTTCTCAAGAAAAAGTAACTAATTCAGCTGTGTCCTCTTCAAGAACATGAAAGTGAGTTTGTAAGCTAAGGAGCAATGATAGGTCATAGAGGTATCTAATGTCTGCTTGTTTTTATGCTGCTTCTCAATTGTTTTTAAGTTCTCATATTTTTACTATCTTTTAAGTAATGACATGTATCCCTTCCCACCCTGAAGTAAGCATTTTGTGGGTTTGCTGAAGAAGGAAGAATGATTAAAGTTTGAGCACGCTAATATTTGCAACAGAGCTGTTAGTAAAAGCCCACATGAATTGGAGGCCAGGCAGTCTTGGGATAGCTAAATTGGAAATCTGGTGGTGGGCTCCCAAAAGCGTTAAAAGTAGAACTAGGTACGAAGTCTGCCTCTTTGGTTCCCTGCCATGTTTGCATATAAAAGTTTTGTAAACAAGAGGAATTCATGGGCTTATATGAGCAGTAGAGTGCTGTCAAACATGCAGGAAGAAATTAGAGAGACTTGTTGCTCTCCACCCACCCCTGATCTGTTCTGTTTAAGGCTCTGCTTGTAATAGTATGTGGAATATTTATAAATAAAGTGGGTTGTTCATTCGTTGCCTTATTTATTTTTAGGAAATGGGCACCTAAAATTAGGCTGTTGAAATAATAGCAGGTTTAAAAAAAAAAAATCCATAGCAAATTTTAGGTGAAATGTGAAGCAAAATTAAAGAAATATCACATAATGGAAATGCCTCCCCTTTAGTCCTCAACAACTATCATGTAAATAGCAGAAATGAGACCTTATTTCTCATTACACACACAAATGCATGGGAGGTGCTTGCATTCAGAGAGATAGGCCTGTAAGCTTAATTAAAAACAAGAGTAAAACTGTTTAAAGCAGTAACTGAGATGATGTCCTCCTTACTAACATCAGGATTTAGAGACAAGGGAACTGACAGAGTATTTTAGTGTTATGTGAAGAGATTTTTTTTTTTTGAACTGACATTGCTACTACTTGTGACTGTACTTTTTTGTCATCTTTATTCAACTGAAAACTCCTATTTCAGCACAGCAAAGTGCATCCTGTAAAATATGTTAACATTTTGATTATAAGAATCAAGTTTTATCCAGGCATGTTTTGATTTCAGTTTGGCATTTTGACAGAGTTGTGTGGAATATCTTTTAAGTACACTAGTATGCTGGGTACTGCTGCTGCTACAGGAGCCATAGATAACCTGAAAGTAGCCAGAATTCAGCTTTACTAACTATGCAAATCCAGAATACTGAAAATTCCTGTTTACTAACCACAAAGAGTCTACTCTCAAATAACCATTTCTAGAAAAGCAAAATTTCTTTCTTGTGGCTCATCCAATGCTTTCCTCTTCCCCTGCCCCCCAATACTTGGAAAACTTTCATGATGCTACCAATAGTCACCTGTAGAGTTCCACAAGCTTCTTGATATGGCTACAACAATTTTTTCTTCCTAAAGTCATAGCACATTCTGAAGAACCCAAAGAAAGTTTTAAAATTGTTTTTTGAAGTGAATGCCACTCTGGAAAATGTACCTCATTCAAGCCATGTGAGTCATTTTGAAGCTGGCTTTTCTGTTTGGGTGTGTATTCAGTGTTTCTGTAATAGAATAACTTAACTGGTGCCAAATCCTGCATTTCATATCGAAATGCAATAAGTCTCCTTGCTGCTTAGGGATGATGTGCAGAGGTTGTGAAAGAAAAAGATTTCCCTGTACATAAATATTTAAGTTTCAGCAGTGTTATGCATTTTAAGGGCAGTCTGTGCTGGTTGCAGCAATGATAGGTCTTTGAAGCAAAAGTCACTATCTATAAAGAGGCCTCTGAAAACATGGCTAGGTATATTTTAAGTCTTTATGCTTACTTTGTAGGAGGGCAGCAGAACCCCCATATGGAAGCGTAGCTTGGTACTGATAAGAGTGAGGCCTATCTTGCAGCAGTGTTCCAGAGAACTCAGGATTGCTGAAAATAGAGTAGGGTTAAAAAAAAAATGCACTCAGGAAAAAAAAAAAAGAAAGGCTGCACTTCATGCAATAATAAGTTACCTAAGAAAAGCATTAATATTGCTGAGTGCCATGTTTCTTGCAACAGTAGCTTTTACTACTGCATACTTCATAATACAGGCTGAATGATGCAAGGACTCTTACCTTGGCTTTAAATATTTTTAAATCATTGCATTACTTTATTTTCACCTTTTGCAGTATGATTTGAAACAGTCAACATGGACTTTTCACGCCTACACACGTACACCCCTCCCCAATGTGTGCCAGAGAACACTGGCTATACGTATGCGCTCAGGTGAGAACTTTATCTTTCTTGTAGAGAAACTATATGTTCTCTGAATGTTGTTATTTACAGAGCGTTTTGCTTTTATGGTAATTCTTTGAAGAAGTATGCTTTATCTGGTCTGTGTTTGAAAACCACTGCTGTGTCCTAAATGGAGAAAAAAATACATCCCAAACTAACAGGACAATGACTAAGATAATGACTCACTGTTGATTAGTTGCTATGAATAAAGCAGTCTCCACCTAGTTACAGTTGGTGTTTTATTTCTATGAAGGTGTTGTAAAAATTCTTAAATATTTTCTCTTACGTCTTGTAGATTCTGTGTGCCTGGTAATTTGCCACACTTTTTTTTTTTTTTTTTTTTTTTTTGCTTTAAAACATTGATTAAAATGCACTCTTCACTGCTAGTGTGGAATTTAGCTGGAGGTAACTTACTGATAATTTTCTAGCAGAAATGTTTATTGTGTAACTAACATTTGTATTCTAATGAACTCTTTTTTTGTGTGTCTTGTTTAAACCTCTAACTACTAGTCTGTCTTGCATAAAGAAATTCATTTTTCTAAAAATAACTTGAGTGTTTGCTAGCTTCTGTATTATGCTATTCAAAAGAAATCTGAAGATGACAATTTGAATTTTTGAATGTTAGATTGTGGCTCGTGATTAAATCTAATATCTCAATGGAGGGAACTTGCATCAAAATTCATGTGTATGTGTAGACGGGTCTGGTTATTGCTTGGCTAGTTTTTAGATTAAAAAAAGCGTGATCGTTAAAATGCAGTATGAGGGTTTTTTTTTCTGTTCTGTGCCTATTAAACATGAGTGTACATTTAATATGTATTTAAATCTACTATTTAAATTGGAAAGTAATTCGGTTGTCAATAAGACAAAAGCAGTCAAGATTGTAGCATTAGCTAATACTGTACAGTATTAACTCGATTATTCACTTTCATCAGTTTTGGTGGGAATCTTTTTAATTATGTTGGTGGTGTAGCAAAACGGAAGTCTTAACATGTTTATTGTACTAATTATAGTACAATGAAGTTGTAACTCTTTCTGAAGTTTTAGAAAACATCTTTTGATAAGATGTTGATTAAATGAAAGTGTGTTTACCGATCTTACGGAAGAACCTGCTGGGCGGTGGAAGATGACTTACGTGCCTTTGATCATCCAGTAGGTCTGCTATTTTATCACTTAGTGTTAAATGAAAAGAGAGTTTTTACTTTGTAGATGCTAGTTTTGCGTTGTGAATGTATAATATATTGGCTGAACTACTTTTATCACAGGACATAAGCAGCAAGTGTAGACCTTGATTCTTTCTTTCCAGGGTTGTGTGTGAGTTTTCTTTTTCTTTTTATTTTGTGTGTGTCCATCTTTCCTAAAATGAGTTGTGAAATTGTCACTGCTTTTTTTCTTATTTGTTTTGTTTTATTTGTCTAAAATTGTCATAATATTCTCAGATGAGCTGTCTTTTGCGCAGCAACTATTTTTCTCCTATGTGAGATGGAATAGGAGATCTTAATAATAACTTAAGATTAAAAAAAATGCACTCAGAAAAATAAAGTTTAATGGTGTTTAAGCTAATTTGCAGCTACAGCGTCTCTGATGACTTTTTGTTTACTTTTTTATTGTGGCATATTTGTTTCTCACAAAAGTAGACAAGAATGCTGCATGAGCAAAGATTTAACTGTCTAGGAAAGGAAGATGCAGGGTGATAGATCCCACTTGAATTCTGGAGTATAGTGCATTTTGACTTTGATACTTTTGGTGCAGAAAATAACTGAAGTGTTTCGCTTCCTACATAAATGGAGGTTGTCACGTTGCAGAGCTGAGAACTTGTGAAGAAGCCTTTGTAGGAGGGGAGGATTCCATTTCTTGAAGCTTCTTAGTCTTCCATTTTCTGTTCTGTTTAGCTATGCATTAGATACAGGTATTCAAAAACAGAGCTAGAGAAGCTGTAGTTTAATGGCTGACCTAGTGAAGACAGGTGTATTTTAAACTAGATTGAAATTAATTCTCTCGCTGTAATTTTTTCTTGGAGAATTAGCAAGTGTTCAATTAAAAATTCCTCTCTGAAAATTCCATGAATCCAAAATATTAAAAGGAGGAAAACTATGCAACACTTCTTTTTTAAGCATGTTAAGAGAATAGACTGCATAGACTTTTAAGCATGCTTCCGTATCTGTGTCTGCCTGCTGAATGTTTGCTGAATGCCAGCTTATTCGTGTGGTTTTTCCAAGCTCATGTCAAGCAATATTTGGGTGAATTTCACCCCTTCACCTGAGGAGCAGTGCATGGAGCTAAGTTTCCAGTTGGCTGTGCTTTTGTGCCAAGATTTGCCAGAGTGCATTCGTTTTTTCTTCCTCTTTCTCTCCTCTGTCCCCTTCCTTTGTATTAACTTTGCTTATCCTGGGATTTGACTTGGACTGCTTTTGACAGTTCAAGGAGCTTCGCCACAAACTTTATCCATGAGCTTCTCTAAAGAAGTTTACTTATGCATGTGGCACTACAGAAAAGTACAGAGGAGCTGGATACTACCAAGCTATTAATAGATTTGGATATAACCTATTAATAGAACTTATATTTATACTCAAGGGATTACTGTATGTTCATAAGCATTTGTATGCCTCTAGTTTTTGCTTCTAGCCCAAATCAGGAAAGACTTAAATCTATATAGCTAAACGAGCTGTAGTTCTCTAGGTGCCTTGTATTTGTCTGTCACTGTCTTAAATAATCCAGAACATTCTTGCCCACTTTGTTCCAAAGCTTGCAAAGTAAATAACGCTTAATGCCCTCTCAACCAGTCTGTGTGCGTGTGCTAAAAATGGCAGACCTATTCCCCTTACGTAGATGTAACTTGAGAATTAACCCTCCAAAGTCTATAACATTTTTTTGCTCTGCAGAAGCTGATGTGAGGGAAGAAATCGGCAATAAAGATAAGATTAGATGCAGTCAGCAGTTGTGGCATGAGCCCCAGGATGTGGGGGGACTTGCAGTTTGCATAGATTGCCAGGGGGTGTAGGCTTAAGTAGGATGATTGCATTCCATCTTTGTATGGCTTTTAGCTGGCCATACATATTAAGTAGGTCTAACAAAAATGCCTACCAAAAATGCCCCATCAAAGGGCCAAAATGTGATTCTTCCCATAGGAAAAAAAGATGCTTTTCCAAGATGTGAAAAACAGCATAGAAAATAAGGAGACTTGATTCTAATCTCAGACACTTTGTATTTTCTTATGAGGAGAACTACTGTCCTTCATGAGAGAGAAGCTCTCCCCGTTTTAAAGGGGAGAAGATGGCGTGGTGTGTTTAGATTGTAGGGCCCAGCTCCAAGCGAGGTATTTGGCTGGAATTGAGGTAAATGCACTTTGAGATACTTAGTAAGAGCCAAGTGTTCACAAGGAGAAACCCGTTGAGGCAGGTTACAGCTGTCAGTTTGTCCCCTGTACTCTGTGTTCCTGTGAATCGAGTATCTGTATGAATTGCTGGGTGAAGATGAGAAAAAACAAATGTATAGTGGCAAGTGTAAATAGCAAATTTGAGTTCTGAAGCAACTGTTTAGGGAGGGACTCAATTCAATAATAAACTATTGAGGATGAAGGAATGAACAGCAGGAAGGCCATATTTAACTCCTGTCCTCACTTCACATCTACAAGAATGCGAGTTGCATGGACCTTCTGAAACCACTGCAAAACTATATTCTCTGTGCCTAGTGAAATGAAGCTGAATCTGTTTTTGTTTTTTGTTTTGTGTTTTCACACGAGCAAGCTCCTCCCTGACTGCTCTCCTCCCTGTAGATGAAAGCAGAGGGCAGCATTAAAGTAAGCTGGGTTTGCTCTAAGCTGGAGTCAGACTCCTGCCTTGTTTTGTGCATGGCTATGTTAGCAAGCAGTGCTGTCCAGCAAGGTCAAGCAGGTGGTGCGGAATACCTGGCACCGAGTCCACATGCCTTGGGGCAGATGAGACAAGGGGTTGCTTTGGACTAGCTCTAGTGTGTAGTTCAGTGGGCTGGATGCCCATGTGCAGCTGGAGCTCGCCAGCAACTGCAGTGCCTTGCTGGGTTGGATTTCCAAGCAGGAGAGGTTTGCTTTGCGTGCTCTGAGACTGGCTCGTGTGCTTTCATTTATGTTGTAGAGCAATCGGGAAACTTGCTTCAAAGGCACAGACCTTGCCAGGAATTAATCACAAAGGTATATATGTTGTAACTACTAGTACATCTAATGTTTGTTTATATGAGAAAATAATAGTTATATAAAAGTTGGTACTGACTTCTGAAGTTTAAAGCAATAAGTAAAATCATTGTTTAGCACCTTCATTATTATTTTATAATGTTTTGTTTTTATATCTTTTTAGCTGATTATGTGGAAAAAAAAACCCTTGCATCAAAGTGATCCTTTCTTCACTAGTACCATTTCTCATAATTGTAGGTGTATTTGTTTTGTTTCCCAGGAAGGGGTCAAAGTCTCCATTTTGAATACAGATAGCACAGTAGAATCTGTTCATTTGATTGTTTGAGTTTTGGAGGAGAAGAGGCAGCTTTAGGTACCATACACATTGCTCGTGAGGGCGCAGGGAAGCTGAAGGAATGGCTCTGCAGGGCTGTAATATCACAGTGGTTGAGCCTGGAACAGGGCTAGCCCAGAACACTTGGGTTGTGGAGCAGTTGGTGGTCCAGGAAACGGAATGTTTGGATACCTTCAGTGACAGCGGCTGTGGCACCGAGCCTCTTACTACTGTGTCATGACAGATTGTGCTTGCTTATGCGATTGAATGTTTCCTTTCATTGTATGTACAAGGACTGTGCTTTAGTCTGAATAGCTTCTGTTTAATCTTATCATTTTTTTTGTTTTGGTCTTGTGTCTTTCTGTAACTTGCTTCTTGGTTTTCATTGTAAGTTTTTATAAAGATTTTTGAGGGAATCAAGTGTAAAACCCATGCCTGGGTGCTTGTGGGGGGGTGGGTAGTATTGGCCATACGTAAATATTTCTTGACTTTGAAACTTTCTTAATTTAGTTCAATCTTCCCCCGTCCTCTCCCCTCCCCCCCCTTATGCTTTTTGTGCTTGTTAAGCTACTGTGACTAGAGTGGAGGAGTTGTTATAAATATATCAAAGGGGAGTTCCCTCTTCTTTGACCTCGAAATTCAAAATAACTTTTCATATGAATCTTTGGCTCTCAAAATGTGAAGTTAGCAGACGAAAAATTGAACTCTTATTTAATAAAAACATGAAAATTTCCCTTGCATCTTACGGTACGTAATGAATTTTAATTTGCTTCTAGGCGTGGTGAAGAAAATTTGTGCCATGGATGGCTTCATCCTTTAAATTGGTCCCAAATGTACTGTGCATGTGTCTGAGGGATTGTGTAATGCTTGTTCGAGCTCTGTTTCAAACCTGTTTCCCATGCTAGCTGTTTCTTCCTAGCAGTTTCAGTTGTTAAATGTTACATGAATTGCACAGGAAAACTTCTGATATCTACACAACCCAAATAATTTAGGAATATGTGGAATATATTTTCAGATTTACTCCATAACTGTGAATAAAGTACTTTAAATGAAAACCAAGGCTAGGTTGAATGGCTCGTTTGTTTCTGTCAGAATTTTCTCAATAATCTGGTAACTTTTCTGCTTTTACTTTCTTTTTTTAGTTCAAGCTATTCTTCAGCTGCTTTGGATTTTGAGACTGAACACAATTTGGATCCAGTATTTGATTCGCCAAGAATGTCACGGCGTAGTTTACGGTTAGCTGCTGCGGGCTTTAGTAAATCAGATGATGCCCGAAATGATACCCTGCATGATGGCGCTTATGCGGGAAACCTGTCTCTCAGAGAGCAGTCTTCTAAGTAAGCAAGTATTTTTATTAAGATGAACTGATTTGAAACATGACTGAGATTTTATGTTTGAACATGGTAATACAGTAAGACATTAACTGTTTTACTCTGTTCTTAGTGTTTACTATTGTATCTTGAAAATTACTATATTGAGGATATGCAATTGGCAATAAAGTCTTTGTGTGAGTATAGATGCTCAAGAGTGAGGATTTTCTTGACCTTGCTTTGAGGTTCAATCAGTGCTAAAATACCTTGATGGTTCTATCACTTATTAAATAAGAAACAAACAGAAATTTGTATATCTAGTGCTATGTCTTTTCTGTTTTTGCTTTCTGTTTCCTAGGATGGCGAAGCAACGCAGAAGTATGAATAAACAGTCTGGCACTGTGAGACATACACCAAGGAAAAATCTATCCAGCTCCTCTATTTTTAGCCAAAGCAGTTTCAATAGCTATGCCAGTGACACGTCAATGGTGTCCACTATATTGGACGAGTCTCTGATTCGAGAGCAGACTGAAGTTGATCATTTCTGGGGTGGGTAATGAGCTTTCTTGCTTATTTTAAATGGTGTCAAAACTGTGGTTTGGCATGTGTGGGTATATGTCCATGTCTTCTTTTACACACCCATTTCTTCATTTTTTTTTCCCCAAACATACACACTTACACACTGTTGTAGGTTTTTGCTTGCTAAGGTGTCTGCTGAAAGCTCACTGCCTAATATTTAAACTCCTGATCTTGATTTTGGTGGTACAGTCAACAACAAGACACGTTTTACTGTCCAATTGATATACCAAAAGATGTGTATACAGTTCTGTAATGCAGCACCAGACGCAGCATGGACTTAGTGCTAAATTTCATCTGATCATTCTTACCATTGCTTTCAAAATGTATATAAAGTACAAAAGAATGGTAAACAGGTAAAAGGTAAAAAAGGTAAAACTTTTCCTTAGGGTTTTTTTAAGGACACTTTATTTATAAGCCAGTGTGTTCAGAATTGATATATCCTAAAAGTTACAAATTAATATTGTCTTAAAATTTCTTGAGATGTGTGTGGTTGTGAGTTTGGAGGCTTTACTGGAGCCTTCTTTTTCCTTTTTCTTTCAGCAAAGCAAAGCTGTGGGAACTTTCCCTATTAAAAATGGTAAGGGAAGAGATAGTGACTTCTCTTCCCTAATTTGGACTTCTCATTTCTAGTTAGTTACATCTCATGTTAGTGTCAGAGAAGGTCCTAAGAATCTTTCAATCTCAGTAGATGGTTGCTAAACTTCAGAGTGCTTGGGTTCTAAAACAAGATTTTAAAAGACAGTAGTACCAAAATGGTTACTAAGCAACGTAGATAGCACAAGCTTGTAATTAGCTGCTGTAAAGTCACATGGGAGCTGGCTATGCTATTTGTCATTCATGTTTTTATCCTGCAGCCTCTTCCATAGAAAACTTCATTAACTGTTGCCCTACCACACTAGTGCCCATTTATATGTATCTAGGGAAGTGGTGGACTGCAAATTTAAACTATTAAAGCCACTTCATGATGAGTATTTTTACTTCATGATCAGCATTCTTAAGTCAGTATCAGATGTCATAGTTGAGTATGAGATTTCATTATACTTGGGGGCAAACATTTTTCTTTTTTTTTTTTTCCCTTTTTAAGGTCTTGATGATGACACTGACCCTAAAGGTAACTACACAGTACTTTTGTTTCAACAAGTGTTCTATTTACTGTGGCTAGCAACGTAGATAGTTTGTCGCTGAATGTCCTACTCTTGGTTTGCTAGGCAGTGATATGACCCTGGTGCAGGGGAATGGTGAGGTAGCACCAGCAGAAATGCAGACTGCAGTGATCAATGGCTATACCTGCAACGACTGCAGCATGCTTTCCGAACGGAAGGAGGTTCTTACAGCATACTCCCCTTCCCACATGCCAACTTCCAGAATTTACTCCAGGGATAGAAGCCAGAAACATACATCTAGTAAGTATTTTTCTCTGCTGTTTTATGTGGGTGTCAGAATGGTATACATTGTAACCGACTCGTTTTAATAATATTACTTAGGCGCTTTTCCCATCCTGCTAAATTTTATCAATAGTTGGATTATAAAGATCATTTTATTGCAAAATACCTTTTTTATGTCAGTGAAGAGTTTGTGGTATTGTCAGCTTCTGATATACAGCTATGTTTCTTTTCATACTGTTGTAGGAATTAAGGAATAGCAAGATCAGTTCCATATCTTAATAGCGTTCCACATCATTTTGAACCTATGTGCTGTTCCAGCCTGTACTGGCTGTGGTAGTCTCTTAATCTGGTATTGAAACAGTGTGGCTGTCCACCAGATTCTTGGCCAGTGTTTTCTCAAAGAAACTTTCTTTATACAGTCTGATTTTTCCTTAAGTGATTTGAACTTTTGGGATTGAGCAGAACTGCAACTTTGTAGAGTTGCTTTTACCCAGGAAAACTTACCTGTGGTTTTTTGAGGGGAGAGGTAGGGAGTGTTAGGGCATTTAAACTTTAGCATATTAGAGGTGAACTATGGAGAAGAAAAAATGATTCTAAATGGACTTCCTTCCCCTATAAGGCATGACTTTCAAGGCTTTCAGGCATTTATTTCTCTTTATCTGCACTATGCATTTTTCATTCTGTTGTATTGACATAATGAGAGTTTCAAGAGTCATGTTTTTGGTGCTACAAAATGCTTTGTGTTTGCGCAGGAAACTCTTGCAAGTGAACCCATCCTTCTGCATGTTTTTGAACTTTAATACAGCAGTTTAGGTTAAATTTGTGGGAGGGAAGGACACAATCACAGCGAGTTCTGGAATTTGACTGG